AAGGCATAATAATAATGCCATAAAACAGCCAATAACTCCAAATCAAAAGTTATAACCGCATAATGATTATAATACATTCATGTTTTCCAATAAATACCATTTCTTAAAATGATATTATAGTTTTCATTTTTCTTAAACGCATTATATATACATTTCCATTCATATTAATACAAATTAACCAAAAAGAAATGTGCATATTTACGTGTAACTGCACAAATTAATACATGTAAATGCATTGACATGGCATTTAATCGTTTCAAGTAATAATTGCATTTTTTAATCTGAACATTATTCATATATTGTATTACTTACAAACATTTAAAAACGTTTATAATCAGTATTGTATTAATCATTATTAATATTAAGAATGCAATCGTACTAACCTTTTGATTCTTACCATTCCGAAAAGTAGAATGAATTCAAACTTTGCAAAGAAGAGACACGATCTCATGCAGTGCAATCCATATTCGATTTTCTTACCGATAATTTCCAGTGATCATAGAATCCATCTTTCTTCACAACACGAACAATAATAATTATTGTCGTATTTAGCAGCAGTAAGAATTCTTTCTAAATTGTTGGTAAAATAGACTGCAAACCACACCGTTAGCACTGACAGGAAAGATAAACAATATTGAAAAAGAACAGATTGGTAAACCGTGTCGTGGTATAACCACTGCCTTAGAAACGAATTCGCCCCGATGTGTGTAATCGCTGCAGTAGGTGGACCGTCCCCCGAGGTTAACACGGTCGCTCCGAATTTCGTACACCCGAAACTGGAGTGGACTACTGATGGTATTGCACTTCTGATGGGAAAGCACACAGAGAGAACTTTAGAAAAAACTTGGAGAGTGAATTCTGAAATGTTGAGAGTGAGTTGAGAAGCTGAATATAACTCTCTATCTATATGCTAGAAATAGGGTTAAAATCGTCCATAAAATTTCAGGACTAAATCTCTTCTTTTGTAACAGCTGAAACGTCTAGATGAACCTGACTCAAAAATAGTCCAGGTTCATTGCATCATTATTCAGCTGTTATAACTCCCGAAATTATATCATGTAACCCCTGGAATTAAATCAAATAACTCTTGTAACTCTTGATATTAACAACTTGTCTCCTCTGTACAAAGCTGGAAATCAGTCCATATACATCTTAACGTTTTTGATTTAATTTAGGAAAAGCTGTTTAATTTCTGATAACTCTCATAAACCAGCTGTTATCATTTGAATTTAAACAGTCCTCAGCAGCCTATAAATATCAGTTGAAATCTTTCACATTTATTTGTTTCTTTCAAAGAGAAATTCCTCAAGAATTTTCTCTAAAAAGATAGTATCCGCGCGGACGTGTCGAAGACACGTATTACCACGACCACGAGCCGAGACGAGCCAAGCCGTGCCGAGACGAGACGGACGGCGGCGGTGCGCGAGAGTCCCCCTTGTTCTCTTTCACTCAACAAGGAAGTGGGAATTCCAATCCATAAATACCCATTCCCAATAGTGTTTCCAATACTATGTGGGATTGAGCAATACCAACATTCCCCCACTAATGCGAAAGAATTCTTCTGAAACTCGAAAACAAACTTTCCAAAAGAGCAATAACGAGATTAGCTGCTTAAGCACTAGTGAACATATCTAGAACTAGTACATAGTGATGATGAGCAATCCTTCTCTTAGATAAGTGAAACTAGTCTGGAACTTTCTAAGATGGGGGTAAACTCATAACACACAACTAACCCCTTGTTCTCTTTGTTGTGTGATTCGCAAGATGTGATATGTATATAATGGTAAGAAAAGACACATTCGCATAAGATATGAATCAATTAGACACTTAATAAAGAATGGAGTGCTCTCTTTAGAGTATGTGAAGTCGGAAAGGAACCTAGCAGATCCGCTTACCAAAGGGTTAAGTCGGAAGCTGGTCCTAGATTCGTTGAGGGGATGGGTCTCAAGCCCATTGGTTGAGGAATTCGTGGTGGATACCCAACTTAGTTATCTAAGTTCCATGTGGTCAAACGAAACCATGGAAAGACTCATAGTGCACATTCCTACTGCCTATCCCTATGATGAATAATGTGCATGCCCAGGATGAGCTTAATTGCTCTTAATAAATTCATAGCCCAGACTTTGGGTGGTATTAGTGAGAAAGACTTGATGAATTTACCGATTTTGGCTGAATATCTATTCTTAATAAGTTCATAACCCAGAGTGAGTAGGTAGTCCTAAATGAAAAGGAAATAATGAACTTACCGACAGAAAGGTTGAGTTTGTTAAACTCTTAATAAATTCAAATCCAAGTTTTTGGATGGTTCTAGTGAGAAGGACTTATTGAATTTACCGATAATTGAGGATGAATATTTATTCTTAATGACTTCTTAGCCCAGAGTTTGGGTGGTTCATTAATAATGAACTTGAAAAAAGTCACCATACTCTTTGTGAGGTCGAGCTATTATAAAAGCTCTTAATTATTTCATATCCCTGTTAAGGGTGGTTTATATCGAGATAAACTTGATGAAATAACCTATGTAAGTGAGAAGGGTTAGACATCTTCTATGAAAAATGTTGGGCCATTTTTCTAGCACACTTACTAGAATCCTGAGGTAAGATGGCCAAATATATATTTTTGTATATATATATCTTACACATCGAGGACTCAGGTGGATGGAGGGGTTAGTTGTGTGTTATGAGTTTACCCCCATCTTAGAAAGTTCCAGACTAGTTTCACTATCTAAGAGAAGGATTGCTCATCATCACCATGTACTAGTTCCAGATACGTTCACTAGTGCTTAAGCAACTAATCTCGCTATTGCTATTCTGGAAAGATTGTTTTCGAGTTTCAGAAGAATTCTTTCGCATTACTGGGGGAATGTTGGTAATACTCAATCCCACATAGAGTTGGAAATACTAGTGGGAATGGTATTTAAGGTTTACATTCTCCATTCCCTTGTTGAGTGATAGAGAACAAGGCGTGGTAATACGTGTCTTTCACACGTCCACACGAATAATATCTTTTTAGAGAAAATTCGTAAGGAATTTTTCTCTGAAATATTAAATGAAAAATGTGAAAGATTCATCTGATATTTATAGGCTACTGAGACTGTTAAAGTTCGAATATTTCAGATGATAATAACTGATTATTAGTTGTCTGAAATTAAATAAATTAAATTATTATTTTCCTAAATTAAATCAGAATTTAAGATGTATCTGGACTGATTTCAAGCTTTGTTCATGGGAGAGACAAGCTGTTAATATCAGGAGTTACAAGAGTTATCTGATTTAATTTCAGGAGTTATAACTGTTTAATTTTTATGCAATGAACATTGACTCTTTTTTTAGCCAGATTCATCAAGAGGAGTTACAAAAAGGGTTTAAATTCAGAATTAAAATCAAATTTAATTTGATTTTCTTGTTGGACGGATTTACCCTTACTTCTAGCCTATAAATAGAGAGCTAAATTCAGCTTCTCAACACACACACTCTACAATTAGAATTCACTCTCCAAGTGTTTTCTAAAGTTGTTCTCTCCGTGCTTTCCGATCAGAAGTGCCATACCACCAGCAGTCCACTCCGGTTTCGAGTGTACGGAATTCGGAGCGACCGTGTTAACCACGGGGGAAGGTCCGCCTACTGCAACGATTACACACATCGGGGCGAATTCGTTTCTAAGGCAGTGGTTAATACCACGACACGGTTAATCGGTTCTTTAATTATATATTTCAATATATATTTTTCCAGTCAATGCTAATGTCTCGTTTTGCAGCAGTCTATTTTACCATTAAACTGTTATTTTCCTAAATTAAATCAGAATTTAAGATGTATCTGGACTGATTTCAAGCTTTGTTCATGGGAAAGACAAGTTGTTAATATCAGGAGTTACATGAGTTATCTGATTTAATTTCAGGAGTTATAACTGTTTAATTTTTATGCAATGAACATGGACTCTTATTTTAGCCAGATTCATCAAGAGGAGTTACAAAAAGGGTTTAAATTCATAATTAAAATCAAATTTAATTTGATTTTCTTGTTGGACGGATTTACCCTTACTTCTAACCTATAAATAGAGAGCTAAATTCAGCTTCTCAACACACACTCTCTACAATTAGAATTCACTCTCCAAGTGTTTTCTAAAGTTGTTCTCTCCGTGCTTTCCGATCAGAAGTGCAATACCACCAGCAGTCCACTCCGGTTTTGGGTGTACGGAATTCGGAGCGACCGTGTTAACCTCGGGGGACGGTCCGCCTACTGTAGCGATTACACACATCGGGGCAAATTCGTTTCTAAGGCAGTGGTTAATACCACGACACGGTTAATCGATTCTTTAATTATATATTTCAATATATATTTTTCCAGTCAATGCTAATCCCTCGTTTTGCAACAGTCTATTTTACCATTAAACTGTTATTTTCCTAAATTAAATCAGAATTTAAGATGTATCTGGACTGATTTCAAGCTTTGTTCATGGGAGAGACAAGTTGTTAATATCAGGAGTTACAGGAGTTATCTGATTTAATTTCAGGAGTTATAACTGTTTAATTTTTATGCAATGAACATGGACTCTTTTTTTTAGCCAGATTCATCAAGAGGAGTTACAAAAAGGGTTTAAATTCAGAATTAAAATCAAATTTAATTTGATTTTCTTATTGGACGGATTTACCCTTACTTCTAGCCTATAAATAGAGAGCTAAATTCAGCTTCTCAACACACACTCTCTACAATTAGAATTCACTCTCCAAGTGTTTTCTAAAGTTGTTCTCTCCGTGTTTTCCGATCAGAAGTGCAATACCATCAGCAGTCCACTCCGGTTTCGGGTGTACGGAATTCAGAGCGACCGTGTTAACCTCGGAGGAAGGTCCGCCTACTGCAGCGATTACACACATCGGGACGAATTCGTTTCTAAGGCAGTGGTTAATACCACGACACGGTTAATCGGTTCTTTAATTATATATTTCAATATATATTTTTCCAATCAATGCTAATGCCTCGTTTTGCAGCAGTCTATTTTACCAACAGAACACCATAGCTAACTATACCGTGAAACAAGGGAACATTCCCAGCCGCTCCTCCTCCTCTACTTTCACAAGGGAACTGGGTTATTGCCGTTATGGTTCTGGTTTCATTCATTTTCCTTAAATGTTCGAGTTGGGCAACTCCCATGCCTCTTTGTGGCTGTTTCTTTGGGTGTGGGGCTTTCCCATTAGGTTTCCTCCCTTTGTTGCTCTTCACAAACTCCAGGACACGATTCTTCGTATAAACTAGAAGGAATAAAGCTTATAATAACAAGGAGGTGGGTTTTAACTTGATATATTCTTTGGAATTTTGTCATATACTATATTGTATTTTAATTATTTTTTTATATAATTGTATAATAATTAAAAGGTGGAAGAGCAATCATAAAGAGTACGTTTTGGTCATGATAATGTGAATCTACCTAGCTATGTTGTAGGGTTGCAATGATCCCCTGATCCCTGCATATTTTGAAAACACCTTAAAATAAATAAAGCCGAGTCCATGGGGTACTTTACTAGTTTATGGAATTGTAAAACTTGGTTTTGGTGGTTTATTCCTTCTAGTTTATACTAAGAATCGTAGTCGGTGATTTGAGAGAAAATGGTAACCGAAGATTAGGGGCGATGTTGTCAGGAGAGAGGGAGAAAGAGGAGAAGAAAGGAAGTATTCTTTCGATTTTGTATAGGAGATTTTATAATGACTTTTAATGATAGTATTAGACGGAAAATTCCTAGGCCCTGTTACCATTGAATCATGATCGTGGTGTGTTATAAAAGCTTAAAACGGGTGGAGAAAAATAAAACAATAAAAACCGCGTGACTAACCGAAGATGTAATTTTCAGATATGATTCTGGTTGAAGATCTTTATAATCATCCCAGGGAACCCCATCCCTTTCACACAATTGCATGCAAGCTGAACAAATTTATGTAGGACGGTCCAGAATACCAAAATTCCAACCAATCATCACCTGCCACCTAAGCAAAAAGGCTTTGATCTCTAGTTTCCTTCTTTAGGCCTTGATCTAGTTCTCCAGATCCTAGGCCATATGCATATGTATGGTGTGATGAAGTTTTATTCTTCGTATGTAAAGAAGAGATAATCTTCTATAAGGGACATTGGTTATGGCTGGCCACCTTAGGTGTTGGGATGATGGTTTCAAATAGCAGCCGAATAGTGATATCGCGGCCGTTATATCACAGTCGCAGTGGTGTCCGAAACCGCTATCGTGAAAAATAACGGTGTGAAGCGGGATCACACCAATAGTGGCGGATCGCGGTCGTAATTTAACGGATTGTGGCCAATCACAGCAATAGCGGACCGCTATTCTTTCGTTATTTTAATTTTTTAATAAAAAATAGGTTTTTTGTTATAAAAAACTGCTCATTCGAAAAAAATTCTCGATCGCGATATTCGCAATGACCGCAATAACATCCGTTATATCCGCAACCATGATTAACGCGACGCGACCGAAAACGTGACCGCGAACGCTATTTAAAACCCTGGTTGGGATATAGGCGGCTACAAAAAATGTGAGATTTGGCACGTGTGGAAGCTGGCCGGAGATTGGTCGCATGTGTGAAACCAGAGTGTTTAGGGTTTTCTTCCTCATGTATGAGTTTTGGGGGGTTTAGACAGAGGGTTTAGGGTTTAATGTGTTTGGGCAGACATGGAAGGATTCTTGGGGGTTTGGGAAGCAGATTGTGCCCTACATGGACTCAGTTTTGGGGCATTTATATGCATAGGTGTCCTACCATTTGGCAGCTTTTGATGGAGATCATACATTTATAGGGCTATGACCCTAACCACGGAAATCTCCTTTTTTGCATTACAATGGGGGACCATATGTATATTACCTTAAAAAAAACTAAAGAAAGTGACATCAAACTAATTCAACTTTTATCCTTAAATTAATTTGCATTAGTGTATTAATAATATATCAACAACTTAAAAACTAATTAGATCCATACATATATTTGGGTAGTCTAAAATACAATAGGTTAATATAAGATTAAAAAAGGCCGCAATTAATCGATTTTAAAATAAAAATTTATAAAGTACTTCATTAAATTGGGCAACATTTTAGGTTAAAATTAAAGATCAAAGGTTAGAGTAACTGTTGGTTGTAGCTTTATGCAGCTTGTGAAAGGACCTTCCTCTTTGAAGTTCAAAAAACAAAAATCAAAGAATGCCCTTAACAAAGATCAAAAGGTCCCTTTTCTTCTCTCTCATTTCAATATTGGACCTCAGCCATATAAAAACAATAATAATTACTGGGATCTCAGCAATCTGAACAGAGATTTTGTTGCTCTTTGCTGTTATCTTTCTCCCTACATGACTCCTTTTCCAAGGTTTTATTGCATGTTTGCCCAACATAGTTAAAAAGAAAAATCATCTGTCTTTGGTTCTTTAAGATTTTTATGGAGGGACAGGATCTCTCAACAGAGTGACTTCAGAGCGTTGTGTTGGGTTAATCTGAGCCATCCAAAACAGGTACCCCCAGCTGTTACAATACTGCATATATGATAAAAAGTGGACCGCAAAACATAAACGTGGGGACAGTAACTAGATGCGTCTGTAAGATGTTCATGTATCTTTGAAAAAACATGAATTCTCTGTTGTTTAGGTGTTTTCATTGTTTTGTGCTCTTTTCTTTTGGTTGGAATCCTCTGAAAGTGTATATTCACCTCAGTGAAAATAACTATATTTTCCACAGAAATGAATAAGGTGTTTACTATACAAAATTTGATATGAAATACTCAGTTTTACAAATCAACTATTTTATACACTTAAACTGCATTCTGCAAAGGCTACTCCTTGGAAGAATAAAAGATGCACACAGCATATATTTCTAACAAGATATTCAACCGCAAAAGGGTTCAAATCATTAGCATAAACACGTTTTACTATCTTAGCGGCAGATATAGCAATCGGACCCCCAGAGAATACATCACCTGTAAATTACAAAAAATTGAAGAATTGAGACATGTAAGCCACTTGATATGATATGAATATTTACAAAAATTACAGCTAGTACAAAATTTGCGCACATTAAATACTCTTATGGTGATTATAACAATCATTATTTGTAATACATAATGCCAAACAACGTAGAGTTGAAAGCATACATATGACATCATTGCGATCGAAGCCACTCAGAAGCCTCTGCCTCTCAGTTCCAAGCCTTGAGTTCCAATAACTGCATAAACGGCGGAAAAGAGGAACATGAATACCTTGTCACCGATGTTAAATATCTTATTGTTTTGATGAAAGCAGTGCATACACTTTTGCTAAATCAACACGAAATCGCAGTCCATTCTCAACTACTGTAGTCACCAAGGAGTGATTCCCGGCTAACACCTCAAGCTGCATTTTTCGGTAGTCATTTTGAATGACGTCAATCTTATTTACAACTGTTTGTATTTTTGGCTTCTTTTTGTCCAGAACCACCTGATAAAGTGGAAAACAACCATATCCTGTCAGAAGACAAATGATGAGTTCACCTTCAAAGTTGTAGACTTGTATCTTCAGTATGTGCAATATACTAATTTCTATAATAGGAACCTTCGCTATAACGTTCTTGTATGGTAGATGTTCATCTTTCAGGTTCAAGTGTGCAATATGACCAACCGTCTCAAAGGCTGAAGGGATAATCATGCCCTCTGGTAGCAGGGTCTCCAAGATCTGCAAGGAATGCATAAGATTTAGAGCCCCCATTGATGTTGCAAACATTTATATCTGACTCTGATTAGTTGTTATAGTTAGAGGTGGGACCAAAAGAAAAAACTACAACCCACTCTCAATATTTCCCCCTTAATTTTCTTTCCTCTTTGCCGTGGAGGCTACAGTTTTGTGGCCTTGTGTAATAGAATAGCATATGCAGAATTTTCATGACATGATTTAATGATTGATAATAATTACAAAATGTCTACGTAAATGATTCCAAAATCTTGCTTTGTCCATTCATTTGCAAACTAAAAGTCCTTCCATTTCTGCCAATCATGCTGCCAGTCTAGCTTCTAACCTTTTTAAAGACAATGACATTAGAAGTAAGTGAACCAGATTACTATTAATTTGCGTTACAGTCTTTCAAAGCATTATTAGAAAATGACGGATATAAGGGGGGGAAAGATGAGAGGCGAGAATGATGAAACAAGGAACATTCACTGCGGGCAAGACACCCTAACTTCAAGAATTACTTAAATGAATCTGATGCCCAAGACGTCATTCTTGAAGAGATAACATAAGTTTGAAATCAATGTTTGTGGTATAAATTTGCCCCCCAAACAAACACAATTATGATGCTTTCGTGCGATATACCTCATTCATCTGCCAATAATCATAGAACAAAGTCAGCTTACATCTCACAAGCTCTATAGTCGAGGAACTATTCTCTCTGGTTTCTTCAACCAACACAGCCTGAAAAAAGGAAGGGGGGTGGCATTTCAGATGTGACAAACATGAACAATATGTCATAATAGAAATCATACTATAGATACAGTAACAGCATCAAATTTGCAAAAATCATATATCATAGAAAAAGAGGTAAGCAACTAGAGCATCCAAATAAAAAGTACCGACAGTCCACGCATACATCAAATAAATTGAAAATTCTCCAATTAACACATACAGCATCGAAACATGTTGGGACTAGAGCTGAAGCTAAATCTCATCTCTCTACCTTTTATAACACATTCAAAAACTATTATATATAAGACATTATAACATTCAAAATTTTCCAGTTTAATTAACTAGAGCGTCAAAGCGTTTTTAAGACTAATGCTAAAGCTAAATTCCATCTCTCTAATCTTTTATAACACATTCAAAAGCTACTATAAACAGATATTTAAATAGCGTTGGCGGTTACATTTTCGGTCACATTACGATCACTCTAGAGGTTGCGGTCGTAAAATTTTGTAAATTTCGCACAATTAATCCTAAAACATGATAATTACAATAATTATAATTGAGTACCACTTTTCCCACAGCACAATTATCCAAAAAGGCATCCCTTCTTAACTTATTCCCAATCTGAACCTCCAATCATCATCTCTCTCCACTTCACCATCCGCCAACTCCACTTTCCTCCCTTCCAATGCAGTCTTATATATACTAATCTCCCTTCCAACATATCTTTATCAGTAGAATCCAGCAAGTCGGTTGGATTAGTGGTTTCAACAGCAGTGGCTTCAAATGCACCATCATGGCCACCTAAAGAAACCTTATTCGGTGCCGCTGGATTCAATACTCCATCAATGTCCTGCTTCCTGGAGCTGCTATCTGATCGGTGAAGCTTCTCCAGGGGTTTCGAGTGGGATTTTGCCTTTGTGAAGAGAAGGGCCATAAGAGAAATTTTGGGTTTTGATTTGGGTTTGGGTGGAATACAAGAGAGAAAGGATTGAGGGTTTTGGAAGAGAGGAAAAGGAGTGTTTGAGAGAGAAGGTTGTGAAAGGAAGAAGAGAGTTTGGTTTGAGATGCATAAGCTTTACTGCCACCATTTTTGGTGGACTGAACTTTTCGGGGTTGAGGGAGGACTTTAGGATAAGAAGATTAACGAGGTTTTTTTTTTTGGGTTTAAGGGGTTTTGTTTTCTTTATTTTTTTGGGCCATGATAAACATTATTTTTTTAGGATAAATTACACATTCAATAATTATATTTTTTATAATTTCATTTTGATCATCTAAATTATTTTTTTAAATCTTATTTTGATAAACATGGTGATAAACGAACTATATCTTGATTACAGATATGGTCCACATGTAATATCGAACGTAACGAATCACAAATAAATATACTAATAACTGAAATATATCGAGATCTTATATCAAAATAAATATAAATATGAATAATCAAAGTGTAAATCCATTAGCCAAAATTACATGCAAGAATCTGGTAAATTTGCTGAGAGTCTAGAAACCTAATTTCCTTTTGTTTATAGATAACATTTATATAGTTCCAAAAGTATGACTATGAATGTATGGATATACATTTCGACCATGGTTCCTTTCTAGCAACCCTTCCATGATAATCTTCTTCCTGTAATGCTTCGAATCGATCTCGAATACACGAGGATCGACCGCAACACTATCCGATGGACCTCGTTTAGCCCACCGTTCGTAAGGGCCAGCACGGCCGAGGTGCAGAAAATTGCAGAAACTTTACCCCAAATGACCAAAACCAATAGGCTCACAAGGAGCAAACAACAAGAAACGATCCTGGAACCATGGTCCTTTTCAATCATTTTATTGTTTTCCGCGGTTTTGGACGATGCCGGCCTCGAATTACGGGAAAGTGACGACGAAGATGAACGGCCGGATGGAGTTGTTAACGACGACCTCGACGATGATGAAGATGAACGGTCAGATGCCGTCGTTAACGACAACGATCTCGACGATGATGAAGATGAATCTTTTGATAAACAAGATGAGATCTTAGAAGAATTGTCACTTGTTGAGTGATCGATGCCCTCGCACGGTGGCACATCGTTGATTGTCGGACTGAAAATCTTCTTCGGTTTTAATTCAGATTTAGATTTGGATATCTCGCCATTGTAAATCCGGTGCAGCTTCTGATCCAGTTTCTTGCTTGTCATTCTCTTCATCTATCAAATGCAAATGAAAATTGAATTTCAATATATATATATATAATCAGACACAAAAGAGAACAGAAGAAACGTAACAATTTTGACTAGAATTTTTAATCAGTGAAGCACATGGAGATTGAATTTCCAAGAACAGTAAGTGTTTCTGTGAAGAGTATACAATTGAATTGATTTGATCAAATTATCATTAAAAGCAGAAACTAAAATAATTAACACACGAAAGAACTAAGTGTTCATACTGTTACTGTATACTCTACTGGTAATCTGTTCATATATGTATATAAGATTTGAATTTTAAATGCATGGTTTTAAGTAAATTTCTATTTTTAGTTTCACTTATAAAAAAGAACCCACATAAGATTAAACGACAAGAAAAGCAGAAAAAAAGGGAACTGACCAGAGAAGTTTCAAAGAAGACGGCATTGACAAAACGAGAGAGACTCCGGCGGCCAAGTTGTTTTTCCGACCAAAAGAATTTCCAGGAGCATCATCGTCTCTGTCGTCGGAACCCATCATGTTCTTCGCCGGTGAAAGGGGCGATTTAACATCTGACGACGACGACTTCGATCGTTTTCCGACCATCGAACCGTTATCGGAAACAACCGGAAGGAAACACATGCTCATTTTCTTCATTTTTTACGGAAAAGGTTTGCTTTAGTTCATGCAATGGGTTTAGGGAAAAGGAAAGAAGAAGAAAAGGGGCGGTTTGAAAAGGAGAAAAATAAAGATATTTTAAATGAATTCTGATTGTTATGTGGATATAGCGAAGATTTAGGGGGAGAAAGTGCTTGTTTGGAGAGTGAGAATCGGAAGGAAACTGAGAAAACGAGGGAAAGTGTTAGTTTCCCTTTTAATGGGAAGAGTGGCGATTTTGCTTCTCTATAGGCGCCGGTATGAATACGAAATACTAGTCATTATTAATTAAAATTAATTAATTTTTAATGAGAAATGAATTTAATCTATAAGATTAAAATATTATTTTTAGAAAAGATTTAACTTCAAGTAATTATGTTTACAAGGTAATTGATTAAATTTTTTGAATAGTTAATATTTTATAATTATTCAAATAATTAAAAAATGAATTAAAATATTTAAAATTAAAGATTTAATTTGGATGAAAAAAATAATTAATATTAATTTATGCGTATTTCATACAATAACTAATATCCGTCCAATGAGGGAATAAGGAAACTTGTTTTAAAATAAAATACAAAGCAAAGGTTCCCATTCGTTATTTGACTTAATGGACTGACTTGGACTCACTAGAAATGTTGACCCAAAACATGATTAGGTGGACAAAATTAAAGTTTAATTACTTTATTAATTGAGGTTTAAGAAGAACAATAAGCTGTGGGCATCTGTGACTTATGACTATTGACTTCAAATGTGAACGTTTACCAACTCCAAAAATAGAGTATTGACCCAACATGAATATACTGAAATAAGACTTGGTCTAATTATGTGCAAATGTTGTGTAAATATATGAGACTTGGTCTAATTTATTTATAAAAAATTGAGGTTACAAATTTATATCCAAGCTATGTAAAATTTGTTTTACACGAATTTATTTTAATAATATATGTCCTATTTAGAATTTAGATTTAGGGTATTAACATTTAGATTTTTAGAATTAAAATAATATATGTATAAAATATTAATTTTTAATAATTAACAATTTATTGAATGATTAAAATGAAAGTTTTTTTTTCATTTTGAATGACTAAAATATTATGACCTAGAAATTAAATAACAGTGTCTTTTGGTCCAATAGAGCAAACAGTTTTATTAACTAGCCCAATAAGGCATATATAAGTTTATTTGTTACAGTGTAAAAAACTCATCATATCGAGTGACGAATTTCAATAAAAATAATTTTTTATTAAATTTATCACATCCGGAAAAAGTTCAATTAAAAAATATTTTTATTAGAATTTTCTCGTCAATTTAACGAGTTTAAAGTTACTATTACAAATACCGTAGATCCCAACATAAACTTTTATATGCAGAATTGGGCTAATTAAAAAGTTGTTTATTCTATTGGGCCAAAAACCCAAAAAAAACTGGTGTAATTTAGCTATTAATATAAACAGGTTCGTTTAACATGAACTGGGCCAACTAAGGCCCGACTGCAATAATGATAAATAAAATATCTATAAAGAATTTGGGCCCAAAAATGCTTCTAATTCTAATATGCAAATTAATATATTAGTTGGTTGAATTCATTGGACGATAGTTGCAGTGAAAGGGTATTTAGTTAAGATGTTTTCAGCATGTTAACTGCCAATAACAATTAAAATATTATGTATAACCACACATTTGATCCATGTTATTTATATATTCTCTCAATTTTAGTCTTGCTGTTAATATATTTAAATAAATATATTCCTCCAATTGAATGATTCCACGTATCACTAGTACCGAATGTCGTATCACATGTCATTTTATTTTAATTTAATATATGTATTTTTTATCAATCATAGGATGACACATGTCACCTTTTTGTTGAAAGAAAACAAAGCAAAACAAACGGAGACTAAATGGATTTAAAAATATTTTTAAATTAAGTTAATAATAAAATATATTTTATAAGTTAATATAAAAAATATTTCAAAAGTTAATATATAAATATATATGAATTTAAGTTAAGTATTTATATACTAACATACAAAATATACATCATATTGTCTATTTAGACTAAACATTGGTCTTGGTTCAATAGTTGGTACATGCTTGGTTTCTAAGTAACCCAAATTCAAATTTATTTGCCCCAATTTGCTTTGCTTTGTTTTCTTTCAACAAGAGGGTGATATGAGACATTATTCGATAGATGATTAAATTTATTTTAATTTATTAAAAGTATGACTAAATTGAAATAATATATAAATAATAGAGGCCAAATGTGTGATTAAACTAAAATATTTAACGTCACATCACCTAATTTATTAACTGTTCATAACAGTTAATTCATAGTGACATCTTTATTAAATAAAAAAATAACCATATATAATGTTTTTCGTAATTAGTGAAGAAAATATAACAAAACAAAACATGATCAATCATGTAGTTAACCCAAAAAAAATATTCAAGAATGTCATTTTCACATATTCTTTAATTATTTGCCAACTTCTTTCATTTTAGACAAAATTATTATTGAAATCTGAGTTTTTCATCATATTGGTTCATTTATTGCATATTTTTAACTACATAACTAATAATTTAGGGTTAAATTTATGAAATATTTTTATTTCATCGATTTCAATAACGAACATGTTAAAATTGAAAATTTTGAAATTACTTTGCTTCTGAGTTCTTTAGGTGCTGAAAAAAAATAATATTATTATTGACACTTTTGTCATGCTGAAAAAACTTGATCATAGTCTAAAAGTGAGTTTTAACTCTAAAATAACTTTTGAGTATAATTGAATAATTTATTTTAATATGACAGTTGTTATACCCATTCATACCATGCAGACTGTTATGCTCCCCGTTTCAACATGCAACACAATGGATAAATTGAATCGCAATTTCTTATGGAGAGGAACTATAAATTATGATCATAAGCACCTTGTTAACTGGGACGCTATGTGCAGACCCTAATATGCAGGTGGAATTGGGTTAAGAAAGACCAAAGATATGAACTTAGCCCTGCTAGCCAAAAATGGCTAGGGGATGATAGAGAAGAAAGATAGTCTTTGGTGTAAAATCTTCAGAAAAAAATATCTGAAGGGAGAAAAAATTTTGGAAACAAATTTTCATGGAAACTGTTCTGCTACTTGGAGAGACATCATGAATACCAAGGACTTTATAAGTAAAAGTTGTAAACGTAAATTTGGTCGGGAGAAAATACGTTTTGGAAGGATTGGTGGATAGATGACACCCCATTGAGATATAAAGTCCCAGGAAGAGAGGAAGATGACACCAAAGTAGCTCAGTTTATAAATGACAATCGATTATGGAATCTTCTTGCGTTGAAGAACTTACTCCCCGAAGATCAGTTTAATCAAATTAGAAGTGTACCTCTACCAGGAATGGACACTGAAAATTCTGAACACAAAATTCTCTGGGGTTTTCCTAAAGATGAAATTTTTTCAATAAAATCAACATATAAAGCAATAGTGAGCGCAAGTCTTTCGAGCCAACATATGAAGGATCTGGGTTGGATTTGGAAAGTTAATACTACTGATAGAATAAGAGTATTTATCTGGCTCAAGATTCTAAAAAGACTAAACACGAACGAAATACAAGTCAAAAAGAAGATTACTCATGAAAGCCAGTGTAAACATTGCTAGGGAGTTATCGAATCGATTGAACACATACTGAGAGAGTGCAAAGTAGCGAAAGAGGTGTGGGAGAAGACCGAAGTGAGGAGTCAAGATGTGAGCTTCGAATCTAAGGTTTTCGAAGAATGGATGTGATGGAATTGTCGATCGGAAAAGTGACAAAAGATGGAATAGGTTGGGGAACTCAGTTTTCTACAATCATATGGAGCTTATGGAAAACCAGAAACGAAACAATATTTAAAAACAATAATCCCAACACAACTCAGTTGATAAACAACAGCAACAATCTAACAAAAGAAATCTCCCAAGCAAAGAACAACATAAAACATAGTGGATTACCTGTGAACCCAAATGGGTAAAATGGAGGAAACCACCAAGTGAACACTGGATCTTGAACTCAGACCGGGCTTACAGAGCAAGCACGGGTATGGCTACCGCAGGTGGTCTGATAAGAGATGAAAATGGAAAATGGGTGCACAGATTTATGGTAAATCTCGGCAAAATAAAGATAGCCATGGCTGAAATTTGGGGTATAAGAGAAGGATTGAACCTTGCGAAAACCCTGGGAGCGACAAACTTAGTAGTCGAAGTAGATGCTCGATGGGCTGTCGAAGCGATACAGGGAGGTGGATCGACTAACATGCAAAATGAAATTCTTATCAGTGACTGTCAAAAAATGATAAAAGAATGATGGGTTAAGGAAGTTCGACATACCTAGAGGGAAGGAAATCGTAGTGCCGATCGGATGGCACACCTAGCTTCCATACGAACCGAAGGGACGCTCTGAGTTGAGGAGCCACCAAATGAACTGCTTAATCTTTTGCTAGCTGATATCCATGGGATAGAGCTATTAAGATGATAGACAAAATGTTGTCGTTTTGTCCTATGTACCAAAAAATAATAATTTATTTTAATCACTAAAAATTTAGCATAAAGTTATACCATATATCGGGATAAAAGTATTATATATGTTTAAAGATTATTAACCCTTTGGTACATAATGATCATACCTTACCTACGTAGTGGTTAAATTTAATACCTTAAGGGATAACGATAAATCTCTTAGTCACTACAGTTAGGGATGGGCATGGGTCGGGTTTTTAGTCCATCCGACCCGAGAACAAGAGAACCTCCACCTGAGACCCGACCTGATCCGACCAAAATAAGGTTTCACCTTACCCGACCAGACCCGAAAGAATAAAAAAAATTATTTTTATTCAATAAAAATAGTGACTTAATTGAAAAAAAATATATAGAGGGGTATTATTGTAATTATCCCTAAATATATAGGGTAAAATTATATATTTTTTCGGGTCGGGTCGGATCGGATTTTTTCACCCTAAACCCGAACCCGACCCGAACACAACATAAAAAAATCCGACCCAATCGGGTCGGGTCGGGTTTAAATGCCCATCCCTAACTACAGTTGGTTGATTTGTGCTTCATGTAATTTTTTTTTTGGTAATACAGAAAAAACAAAATTAGTTTGACGGGTTCTTCTCCTCAGCAACTAACGCTGCAATCTCCAGAGGTACATCGTGATGAAGTTGCACCCCAATCGGCTGACCCCGCGTCATGGAAGCAAGCCTATCAGCTACTCTATTCATCTCTCGACTTATATGATTAACCTTTGAAACCCAACTCCTGTTTAACAGCTCCCGAATCAGTACAACAATGGTGTTGCCGGCATCGCCTTTCGTCGTTTGATTAATAAGTTGAACCGTCATTGCACAGTTTGCACTATCCGATTCCATAATAATTTGTCGTGTCCCAAACTCCCAAGCATGAGCTAGAACAGTATGGATTTCCCACAATTCTGCATTTAAAACAGAACAAACGCCAAGGCTTCGAGAGAAACCAAACAACCATGCACCATTAGTCACGCAAAACTCCTGCTGCTGCTGCTGCCATATTCCCTGAGCCACCCACGAAACCATCCGTATTTTTCTTAATCTAGTTGTAGTCCGGCTTTATCCATCACGCTGTAACACGCAAAACAGTTGTCCGTGGACTGTCCATAGACGCAGCAAGAACTTCATTTTTCATGCGCTCGCTTTGAACGAGAAGCAGTTGTCCGGCTTTATGTAATTTTATTTAACATTGTTTAATGTACTACTACTACTATAATAATAATAATGTGTTAAATATAATTTCATTTATTATATCTTTTATATTTATAAATATAAAGATCATTTTAAATATTGTTTTTGAAAAAATTAATATTCACTTATTTTGTGGTTATGTTATCTCTTGTTATTTCTCCATATTTGTTTTGTATAATTTTACTAGAAGAATAAGTTTTTTTTTTTTGTTGCCTTCCTGATTTTAAAGCTTCGCCTTAACTATTCTGAACTGACACACGTTGTACATTTGGTTTTGGTGGGTGAGTATCCCGACAGAGGTTTTCTGTATATACAAGAATTTAAACTTGAGACATTATTTAAATGATATTAAACTATTTACGATTTGAACCAACTCCTGTCGATGACAAGACTCTAAGTTTTAAATATTTGGAATGTGTTTTTTTATGAATAATATTATTATTGACAATTGTTGTCATGCTGAAAAAACTTATCATCGTTTAAAAGTGAGATTTCAACTCAAAAAAAAACTTGAGTATAATTAAATAATTTATCTTAATCACTAAAAATTTAGCATAAAGTTATATCATATATTGGGATAAAAATATTATATATGTTTAAAGATTCTTAACTCTTTAGTACGGAATAATAATAATAATAATAATAATAATAATAATAATAACGTGTTAAATATAAATTTTATTTTATTATATTTTTCTATTTATAAATATAAATATCATTTTAAATATTACTTTTGAAAAAATTAATATTCACTTATTTTGTAGTTATGTTATCTCTTGTTCTTTCTCCATATTTGTCTTCTTTAATTTTACAAGAAGAGTTAAGTTTTTTTTTTGACTTTCTTGTTTTAAAGTTTTTTCTTTGCTATTTTGAATTGATTCATGTCGTACACTTAGCTATAGTGGTGAGTCTCCCAGCAGAAATTTTCTGCATATACAAATATTTGAACTTGATACTTTACTTAAGCGATATTAAGTTGTTTATTACTTGAATAAACTCTTGTTGATAACATGACTCTAAGTTTTAAATATTTTGGAATGTGCTTTTTCATGAATAATATATAATTTAATTAAATTTAGATTTTTTTTCCTTTTTGGTATTATTTGCAATGCAGAGGGTCCCATGAAATGATGCACACCTAACAGCAAGTAATATTTCTGCCTTAGCCAACTGGGCGTATGCTTTAGAAATAAGCTAATCTTTTGTAGGCAAATGTCAATTTCAACTGCATAACTTCAACCTTTAACCCTTGAGAAATTTGTATAAGCAAATGAAAAAAAAAATCAACAAAAACTTCTACACAAAATACAATATTTAAAGATTTCACATAGATGTTACAAAATACAAAAACACTATAGTCAAATTCCAATTAATTAAAAAAAACACTTTTAATCTAACTTTTGTGTTTTTTTCAGAAACATTACAGGCACCCATTGACATTTAATCGGCCATTAGGAACTTCAAACATCAACATGTTGCTGCAGTAACTATCTCTTTCGATATCTTCGGCAGCACTACCGGCACCGTTGTTGTTCACATATGTGTTCGACGACGAATTCAACGGCGTCGAGCACGAAGACGGTGTTGATAAAATCGATCCGAAGGGATTCAGACTCAGAATGTTTTCGTTTAAACATGTATGGTTTTGATCAGCTGAAGAGCTAATGATCGACTGATTCGACTCGTGGCGGTAGGCGTAGTTTTGCATGGGGAAGAAACTCTTTGAATAGTTATTAACATTACCATCTAATTGCCACAGATTTGGAAGGGTATTTGCGGAATAATTTGCAGAAAAATAGTTCGAATTAGCTTGCAGAATATGGCTCATGACAGTACTTGAAGATGATGACGTAGGGCAGATTTGAACAGGATTCTGGAACTGGTTTCCCTGGTAAGATTCGACCTGCTGGTTTTGTACTTGGATACATTCAGGGTTACTATCTTCCATGTTCTTGTTTTGGGCCGACATGAAAGCAGTGGCTATGCTGAGGAGATTAGGGTTGAACATTGGTCCGATGCTGCCGGTAAAACCGGTCGGATTCGGGGCAGAATTGTACAGAGATGAGCTGAGAAGCGAAGAGAGTTCGAGAAGATCGAGTCGAGGAGTGTGGGTTACGGGATCGATCCCCATTCTCAATAGCTTCTTCTTGATGTTAGTGTTCCAGTAGTTCTTGACCTCGTTATCTGTTCTTCCAGGCAATCGAGCAGCAATGGCGGACCACCTATGTTAAAAAAAAAAGGAGTAAATCAGACATGGTACTATAAAACAAACATTTTTGTTACATTGACTTTGCTGATATCTATTATAATCAGTCCATAAGTAGTAGTTCAACTTAAATCATTCTTAATATATAAAATACAAAAAGGAAAAAAGAAAAAAAACATCAAACTGTTTACTATTCGATTTAAACATATTTTGACATTTTCTAGGTAATAAACACTTACTTGTTTCCTAAAACACTGTGTAACTGTATTATAACTTCATCTTCTTCGGGTGAGAATTTCCCCCTCTTGATATCAGGCCGTAAGTAATTAGTCCATCGAAGCCTGCAACTCTTCCCGCACCTCTTCAACCCTAGTAAAAAAATAACATAATCTTAACCGAACTATCGTAACGAAAAAGACAACGAACTCGAAACATTCGACTCGAATCTCGATGATTTAAGTATGTTTGGGATATACCTGCATTTTTGGGGAGGGTACGCCACCTGCCATGGCCATGTTTCAGAATATAATCGATCAATATTTGATCTTCTTCAGCTGTCCATGGACCTTTCTTCAACCCATTTTTGTCGGAGCAGGTAGATTTCCCCATTTCCGAATATATCTTTTAAGACAACCTTAAAACTTGCCCTTTTTGTTCGGGAAAAAACTTGTAAGAAGTGTAAAAACCTTGGGAACCGAAGTCATATAACGCATGGAAGAAGGAGATATAAATAGAGGAGAAGACAGGGTTTGCGGGGGGCGAATTGGGGGCAAGTCAAATAGGATTTGGTACCGCCCAATTGAAACGTGTCTTCTTATGGGGGAAAATTACACATTGCACGTAAATACATATTCAAACACTACACATGTTTATTTATCGCCCTTATTAGCTTTGTCCTATGTAAGAACAAACCTAATTTAAACGTTTGTTCGAAATTTACGTGGAGTGTGTTTAAAATATATAAATTTTATTTTAATTATATTGCACGAATCAAATGGCTTAGCTTGTAAAAAAATTATTGTGCACTAGTAATGCCAGAGGTGTGAGCATTCAATGTCAAATGGTAAAGAGTTATCTATGAATATATACTATCTTGTACTTACCACATATTAATAAAAAAATATTTTTAAGATAATTTTATTAAATTTTAGGAGTTATATATATTTCATTTTTAAAAATACAAGTTCATACAATAGATACTCATATATAAATTCTATTAATATATTTTAAGTACATTTTACATTAGATCTACGCTAATATTTATCATTTAAATCGATTGAAGGGCCTATTTGATAAGATATTAAAACCTTCTAAATTAATTTGAAAACATTTTAAAGTATAATTATCAATTTACAATCTAAACCTCATGATTTAAGAATGTCTAGTTGAAGTAACCCTTAGAAAATATTTCGCGTGCAAAACTTTTTTTTAAGAATCATTTAATAAATGATTATAGGATCGAGGAATGATAAAGTCTTTGAATATAGTTTTAATAGTTTTGTGTTTAAATCTCAAATAATATTTTTAATTATTTTATTTAAATATTATATGAAAGTATAAAAAAAGAAAAAAACACTCGTAAATAATATTAAGTCATCGATTTTAATAGTTTCCGGTTAATGGTTATTTGGTTCTTTTCAAAAAAAAATTAATGAATGGCATCGATTTTACAAGCAATACGCTATATAATGTTTTAAAACTTAAAATTAAGTCATATGCTATATTTTTACAAAATTAAATCCCTATATTAGTTTATATTTTAAAAAATCACCCCCTCTTTTGATTTATATCCAATTTTAATTGTAAATTACATCTATGTTTACGCATTTTGATACAAAATTGTAAGATTGTAACAAAGTAGGAATTGGTCGGAAATATGGATGTTTTAAGACACAAAAATAAAATAAAATAAAATCAAGAATTAGTTAAAATGATTAAGAAATTGTAAACAGTACAATTTTGTCTCTTCTAAATTTGGTCAAGAGTGCTTGTGTCTGTCTTCAATACTAAAACAGGTCGACAGGTGTTAAGCTAGTAAATGATAAGTAAAATTTTCGTAATTATTTTATTATTAATTTACTTTTAGTCAAGTATTATAGCTGTATCCAACATTTCCTGCCACGTGCTGTATGCAGGGGGGGAGGATGAAAAGAGACTCTCGTCACTCGCTGCATGGCTCAGTTGAGCGGTTCATTCGGCTTCAGCTCATCCTAGTTTGTCTTATTATTGATTATGAATGCTTGTGGAAGTGTTTTTAGTTTAAAAAAAATTATTTGAAACGTAAAAATAGTCACAAATATTTTATTTTTAATTCAAATGTTACATTTAAAAATTGATTATTGACTCAAACAAAAAAAAAAACCGTGAATTTGATGATTTTACGCTAACAAAAACTCGTTGAAAGAAATATTTTCAAACGAAGAGCGTCAATAAAATGAAAAGATCATATATATAAATAATTTCAGTTATTATTTAATGAACATAAAAAAAAAGATAAGATAGGATGTAATAGCATCACTATTAAGTACTATTCAGACAAGAAAATTATATATTAGAATCTTAATTAAATATTATTAACATAAATTTAGAATAATCTCTAATTAAATCAGATTTTCGGATACTTTTTAGGTTTATCTTAGTTCTAATCAAATAAACTAACAATAATCAGTCAATAGGTTAACGTTTAACTCAAATATAACGTCAAATTTTCAATAAAAATGATGAATTTGTAACATATGAATAGTTACGTGACCATTTTATAACTTTTAATAGTAGGATGACTCAACAAAGCAGTGTCCTATAGTTAGAGGATCATTTTTGTACTTTACCCTTATTATTAACGTTCAGCTCAAACGGTGATCTTTTTTAACGGAGAACACCAAGTTTCTAAAATATGAACAATCGGATGACTATTTTGTAATTTTAAATAGTTGGGGTACTCAACAAAGTAGTCCCCGATAGTTTGGGTACTATTTTTGTACTTCACCCTTAAAACAAATAATAGCAATTAGAAGGGTGTTTTGAAATTTTATTTAACGTAATTTTTGTTTACCTAATGGTATCTCCTAGGCTTGATATGTAGATATGGAGTGAATGCCGTATATTCTTCTGTTCGGAGTTGCTAAACAGCTGTGAACTCATCAAGTATTTTTATACGTAGAGATTTATGTAGATACAGAGGAAATCGATAACATTGGCTGGTGGTGCATGTACCCTAACTTTTCCTTCATCAATAGTCATACTAAACAATTTCAAAGAAAATATAAGGGGAAAAAAACATTAATATTAGGTCTCTGAATCAGAGTGCATGTTGCATTTTGATTTTTATACTTTCAAAACAGGCAAAAACATATTATTCTAGACCATTAAAATTTCTTAATGATATTTATTTATAATTGTTATCTAAATGACCATTTTACTAGCTTTTTTTATTATTATTTTAGAGATTGTTAAGTACATTTATGAGCCGAATTTGAGAAGGATTCCAATGGCATCAAAATTCAAATATATTGAAGTGGAAAGTGACTTTGATATCTCATGTAGACTAAAAACAATGGCGATGTAGTTGTAATTTGCTATCATGATGTGAAACGAGAATAAATGAGTTAGGTACATTTGGAAAATAATATATTAGTTAACCCTTATTCCCATATGTAATGGGATAAAGGGAGGTAGGATAGTAGGCTGCCCCAACGCCAGGTTGAGAGCAACTTCCGTAGGAGACCTCTGAATTATGAAATAACCTCCGTGGGACTCGATCCCACAATCCCAAGGTTAAGAGCCTTGTGCTCTACCAACTGAGCTGGATGGTCATTTCATTTTGGTTGCCCTCCGGTTATTTCATTAATTTTTCTTTTTTCTTTTTGGTTGCCCTCCGATTCAAAGGCTTCGTTATAACTAATTTGGACCGACTAGAGTCGCGCACTTAATTTTGATGGGTGAGTCTTCCAACATAGTTTTTTGCATATACAAAGACTCGAATCTCTTTATAGATAATTTCACGAAGAAAAAAAATTATTAAATAAAGTTTCTTTTTGATGGGACTGATGAGTTTTTGACTAAAACTTGGACTATGCATTCATTTCACGTCCAAAGTGATGAAATCTCAACCGATTTACAATTTTGAATGGCAATAATGAGATTGAATTCAAGGGAAAAGAAAAACCGCTTGAATTGACCCATTGACAACCGGAGCTGATTCATTTCTTTGGTTTGTGGTACATTCTCCCTTTGCCTGCTTCTACTCCTTGTAACAATTTGGAACAAAGTGCATGAACTCCCACCAAACAAAAGCTATTTGCTGATTAATACATTAAAGAAGTTCATTTCATAAACGTGGTGTAGAGGGGGAAGGTGAACAGTATAAATGCGAAAAGTCGCTGTTTGATTCATGCTATGATGCACACAGAAAGCACCTATATTATGTGGATTCAAAATTGTTCTTATTCATGCATCGTTTAGCCCCCCCCCCCCCAACGTGTCATTTTTAGCATTAGTAATTATGAGCTGTGTTGAATTTTCCACTGTTTAATTCTGGGAATTCAACCCTCACAATTTTTCATGTGCCCAAATGCCGCCATCATACGGCTCTTTGCCTTTGCAGCCTCTCGTTCAAACAGTGAATGTGATCCAATTTCAAACCTCTCATTCTCTCCATTAATGCCTTCTAATGTTTTGTACACGTTTACAACTATGAAACTACGTTATTCGGTGCCATAATAACAAGGGTAATAATTTATGTATTTTTTTCTCTTGATGCTAATAATAATTGAATATTGATAATGAAAATTTGAAAAATTTAACTTGCATTTTCAAGCTTTCAAACAATGGCTTTCCAAGTCAAAAATGAAGTGATGGAAGTGAAACTAAGAAAAGGATGTGCAAAGGCAAAACATTGGTTAATTTTGCCTCTTCATGAAATTAGAGGGTTTAAGAGCTGACAAATCTCAACTAATTAATTGGATTTATTTGTGAAGAAAGCTGAAGGTAGGTCGTCTCTTTCAGTTATCAACTCATCATTGAGAAATGCAAAGGGAAAAAAAGAGCCATAGGGAAAGTTTTATGTTCCATTATTGGTTCCTACTTTGGTCAACCCTTTACATCAAATCAAACACGTAGTGATAGGAAATCATTCATAAAATTTAGGGATAAATCAACATTAAGTCTCTACATTTGACATTTTTTCTTAATTTAATCCTTAAACCTTTTCCTCACTCATATTGATTTCAAATTTTGATAGCCTTGATGACTCGGTTCGTAAACTTGATTTATTTACTCTTTATGACGATACGATATCCTAAGATCATTTCACATCATCAATTGAGAAATTTTAAATATATATGTCTCCTTTAGGTGATTGACACATTTTCAAAATGTCATGTCATCAAAAGGATTAAAAATCTAAGTTCGTAGACCAAAATCAAAAAATTGACAAGTTTTAGGACTAATATAGACAAAAATGATATCTAAACTACGATTTTTTTTTCATTTTATCCTTTTTGGTCCCAACATCCAATAGAAAAATGCCACATACCATGTTCGTACTTGTTTACATTAAATAGAAAAGATATAGATTGGTGGAATGGAAAACTCAAATAATTTAGGGGTGAATATTACAATTAATCCTTTGGTATTTTTTTCTGTTATTTTTAATTTTTTATTAAAAGAAAAAGGTCGCGGCGGCT